CCCCCCCCCCTCTCTTTCCAACTGAATTTTATAGCTTACCTCGTTCTCATCGTAGGAGTCAGCAGTACAGTCAAGTTCAGAATATTACCGCTGATCCCAAAAATGATCAGTATTGGCACAATAGTGCCGATAAATATTCGCTCAACATTGTTTATAGCTAATAACATCTGACGTTCTGTCAGACAACGTTCAACAACTTCTGTCATCTGAAAAAACGTAATCGATTAAGGGTTACGGTAAACTTCAATATGGTAAGCATCCGATTGATGTTTGAACTATGCTCGATTAGAGCAAATCATGAGATGAACAAATGCAAGAAGAAATGAGGAGAGAATTCCCAAGGAATTGAGAAAAGGATAAAGATCGAAGAAAAGAAATGTATAACAAAACACCAGCATCTCTTAAAACAGCTTCTACCTAGGGAAACTCTGACAACAGTCACAAGATTGGCCTTCTAAATCTTTTTTTATGCTGAACCCATGATTGATGGCATGGTTTCTCATGCGTAATAATAGTTTCCTTAAAAAGCAGTCTAGACATTGAAAGATTCTACTTTTATAAAACCACACGATAGATGTAGATGCCAAAGAAAACTGCTTTTATTGCACGCTGTTAAAAGGGTACAAAATGTCGAAAAAACCACTGAGAAACTTTTTTCCGTGAAATAAAAGTCCCTTGTCCAGGTGAGTACACATTGAACACTGGGCTCAAAAACGGTTGATTTGAATCCATGATATCAGAGCTAATGAAATAAAAGGTTGACTACCTGCAGACGGCTGCAAATGAATTGATTCTTTAGGTATTCATTACTAAGGCCATTTGTCATCGGACAACACGGAGATTGGAGGGCAAGAAGATCAATCAAAACCCTTTTTCTTCTGGATTTCTCACGTCTGCCATCGATATTACGGTTTTTCAGACGGATTCACTACCGACGGTGCCTTGAAGCTTGCACTAGTCTTGATGAGAAGGAGTAGCAGCTGCCTCTCCCTTTGAGAAGAAAGTTGGCGAAGTGTAAAGAAAATTAGGGAGCCAAACTAAAACCGTATACACGCAGATCTTACAGTAATTATTTAGGCCCTATAGATAGCAGAATCAACCCACAGACAACCCTATCCGCAGCAACGTTAGAGAAAGAAATGAAAGTGAAAAAAGACTACATGCTGGACGAGCAAGATATTGCGCAGTGGTATTGTTTGGAGGAAAATGGCCTCATCATTGACGTTCCGA